CACCAATATATCCTGCCCCACAGGAACAGGTAAATTAATATATCCACATTGAGGTGGTCTGAGCTGGCAGTTAATCCTTGATCTCTCCGTATCCTTGATCTCTTGTATGTGAACTTGATGCACTTTCAGAGCAGTTTTACTAAATTTAAAATAAATATTTTATAGTATTCGTTCACAATTTTCATGGGGATGGGAAGCGTACAACAATAATTATTTTAATGCTCACACCGTTTAACTGCTTTTATTTCCTCGACTTCGAAAGCTGATACTCAACCACTGAACTAATGTTTTGTCGAGAACGATATGTTTCATTTATTATCGGGGCTCACTGGATAGACACCGAAAATGCTGTCTAAAGAGCCAGTTATGCACAGTTAAACTTTACTGCGGGAATCCAAACCTTAGGCAGTTTGCATTCTGACGACGATTTAAAAAAATTGAGCATTCGAAAAAACTGTTTTTTGTCATATGTGGCTGTGACCTTAAAGGCATTTTTAACAATATGTTTGTATTCGTTTGTGCAGCTGTGTGGCCAAAAACGACGCATCTCCCGAGGGTGTTATGAGCGACCCTGTGACGCTTGATATAATGTTTCCGCCCTCCCACGCGAATTTGACCTCCAGACAGGGTGAGTCCGTCGCAGCAGGGGAGGAACTTGAACTGATGTGCGAGACTGGCCTTTCTAACCCACCCGCAGCAATAAAATGGCGTTACTACCATTGCAGCCCAGCAAAACTCTACTTTGAAAAGGCCTACGTCAGTATTCCAGCATTCATACCTGCAGAAAATGTGACCTCCGACACCCTTACCCGTCTTTACTCCGAAATAGAACTCGGTGGCTGGAAAGGCTGTGCAATGAAGCAACTTGAGGGTGAGTATAAGAGATATCCGGTGATTATTCTAGTGCAGCTTAGAAATGAGTACAATTTTAGGGGGATCATAGTAACTGCCTAGCGCATCTGGACTTGGGTTACTTTAATTGTAAAATGCCTTTTTTCGTAGCAAAGTTCATGGTTCTACTTCTCCAGTTTTGTTAGAAGAGGCGTCCATTAAACTTGGACGGAGGTAAACAATTCAAGTAAATTCGACTGATCCAAAATGAAAAGTTCAGTGGGATTCGAGCCCACGACAGCGATGGAGGAGCTTTAGTATAGCCAACGCTCTAGCCACCTTAGTTATGAGGTCCCACAGGGAGCCGTAGGTTTACTCACACTTCGATAAAGTTCCCCGTCCAGCCTACTGCAGTGAACGGAAGCCACCTGTTCTGATATAGTAAGCTGACTGCCTGACTACTACCTTTTCTGACACAACTTAGGCAGTTCGTTTCATCTAGGATTATTAAAATTTGATTTTATGGTGACAAATGGTTTACCAGAATTGGTAGCCTCATGCATTGCCTGATCTCAATAACTTATGAAGCTAACTTGAGTCTTTGTAGCCGTCATTTTATTTATAATTGGGGGGACTTGACGGGAATCAGGAAAACCTAAAGCAGGTAAGTATTCTTTGGGATGAGCATAAACCGATAAACAGTCGAGAGAGTTAGATAACAATGGTTTAATTGGCCGGCCATTTTGGACTGGTGTTCGACCACGGCAGCAAAACCAGAATAAGGTGAAGAAAGCCAATCGTAAGTAATGTAGTTTATTTACCAAATTGTTGATCGTTTCTCTCTGTCGTTATTGGCATGATGCTGGCTTGGTAGGCCGTCACCGAGTTCTTAACTGTAGGCCATTCCGTAGCACGGCTATTTGTCGGAATAATCGTTAACTGACACTTTCTCTCACCTCTAGCCTTCGCTTAGGCAATTTCACCTCTGTGCTCTCATGGGTGTACTTCTTCTGGTCCATTGGGAATCATTTTGCCTGTTACCCGACTGCTAACTAGAGGACCAAGAGGGAAGCCCCTTCGGGTTCTATGTTTGGCTATCTTTAACAAATATTCAGCCTTCCTTTAACTTTACGGTGTGGCTGGATCTCGTCAAATCCCTTCTCAGTACTGTTATTTGCTCAAGTCCTAGTCACCGGAGTAGTTTCTCAGTTTCTCTGAAGTAGCTGTTTTGTCCTCAAATACCTCTGATACGGCGAAGTACTCCGGAAGTTTCCCTTTGAGATAATGGACCTTTCCATTTCATCACTGTGTCTAGGATGATTTCCTCTGGCCTGTGTGCAACACTCACTCCGAGACAGATGAGGAGAAGGCTGGCGACTGCCGATACTTTCTTGAAAAGTGGGAGGTTTCGTTAAGAATAAGTGTCTTTCTTCGTGTCTTTGCGTTCAGTGGTTAGAGAATTTGCGCTGGTAGCCATGCAGTCAAAATGTCCGTCGAAGATGCTGTAATTTGATATACTGCTTTTCTGTTTCACCACAACGGATCTCAACGCCTGCAATTGCCTTTGTGTCGATTGGGCGGGCATTTTTGAAGCTCACGACTAGTGTTGCATCCATCGCTCTCCGGAACACTGGTTTTTGACTCACCATACCTCTTATGATAGTCAATGATTCCTATCTTCCTCCTACATCTCGAGTTGTATGCCAGCGAAGACTACCTCAATACGCTCTTCTCCGTCCAGTGGTCAGTCAACAAACATGATGACATCCGCATTTCTACTTGCATCATTTGGTGATGAGAGTTGCCTCGATGAATCGCAGAGAAGGAGGGAGGTAATAATATATCACCTTATCAAGTACCAGTATTGATGCCGAAGGCGGGTTAATTAACACCTTGTGCCTGGCCGACCTAGTAAAAACGGTGATGATTGCGGGCAATTCTTCATGCAAGCGTTGTATTCATCTGGGCACGTACCAAAGCTTTTTTGACTGCGGTTATAAATATTTAGAATCGTATTGAGGCAGCTATTTTCATTTAAGTTGGAACTGAGGTTTCGAACGCCCGATTTCTCGAATTCCCCAATTTATTTCTGGATACATTGTTCTCTAACGGTTGACCTTGGGCGTGAACGTAGAATTTCACGACGGGGAACAGACCGGATAATTAGTCTAAAGTCCGGAGCCATAGATTTAAGCTTTCATTTCATCGGATAAAGCAGAAATGTTTAACTGCGTTTCGTTAGTCTCTGTGCGTAATATTTATTATTTTTTTTGCTAGTAACCATACAACCGCCTGTAAGGCTATAGACTGAATTCCTAAGACAAAATGGAATGGTGCGTTATTATTTGCCGTCAAAACGGGGGTACGATAATTGAACGAAAGAAATGTCTGGAAGTCCCTGTCTTGACGGTAAAATGTCCCAGAATAATGAAAGTGTTACTGAAACATAGTAAGTAACATAACAATTAGCCATGTGGCAAGGTCTGTGGGAGCACGAACAGACAAGGGCATCAAAAACCAGGGCGGGTGTGCCCTATAACTGATCGGTGTACGCCTATCTGCTTATAGTCTTTTTTGTTCATAAAAACCTGCATCCACTAAGCCTGACCTCATAATGTAAACTTGCGTTTCGATTTCCAATCCATTTTACCCACAGGCATCGATGATCCACCAACGTCTCAAGAAAAAAAGGGCTTTCTGTCAAGAGGACGCCTCAAACTGCAGCCAAAATGGCAAGATCATGCAGACTTTGTCGAATGTTTGGCGGAGAACGACGCCTACGGACCATTAACGGCGCAAGCAATTATTCGGCTGAACGTAACATTTGCTCCGCAGTTTCTAGGTTTGCAAACCGGATCCGAGCACAGCGTTGTTGAAGGTAAGCAGTGAAGATACTTACTGCAATTACCTTACGCATATTTTATCATAGCAAAAAACTCCAATTGTCATGCTTATAGCCAGCCTGAAACCGGTGTTTATAAAACAAATTGCACATGTTAAACTAAATATTTTGTTGTTCTCGTATTATCAAACTGATTTGCAGAAGCTGCTGCATGCGATTTCTCTTCAAGAAGACTAAGGAAGAAGTTACGACAGTCACGCAGAAAAAGAAAAAATGCTGGACGGCTGCGCATGAACGGACCATCAAGTAACAATGTACATGATCCAAAAACTATACATTATATGCCACATCTAAGAGCTGATTGTGGTGTGCTTCATAGAGTAAGCACACCAATCCTCAGTTTCTATACAATAAAACAGTTGGGGACCGTTAAGAAATCCTACTAAAAAGACGAAGTCCGCGTAGTCGGATCGTCTACTGACAGAGATACTGACAAAATGTGTGTTCGGGCTTAAGCTTGTACCTCTTTTTGAGGTATGGGGAAAAAACATCAACATACATTATGCTTCTACTATATCTATTCGTTTGAAAGATGAGCGTTCCACAGAATTCGATTTTCCCGACCCAAATGTTCACTTTACTTCCGGAACTTATTCTGGCGTGTCTTTTCCCGAACGCTTAATTTTAACCCATCTCATGATGATTCCTGAAGTTAATAACTTGTCTAAGGCACATGCATACTTCTAGGTGAAAGCTAGTGACCAAGACAATGGCTTATAATTCAGCATTATTCAGTCATAGTCAGTCTTAGTTTTGAATACCATAGGGGATGTTGCGAGCGATCCGGTACGACAAAAAGGTCTTGGAGGCCGTCGGCCGCCCTCTCGCAACACTTGGAATTGGAGTCACGCACATGTTGGAGGCAACCATACGGCGTCGGATATTTAAACTGAATGACCCACACCTGGAGTCGTGTATGGGATCTGGTGCAGTTGCAGACAAAGTAACTATGTAAGAGACACTGGAAGACGTCTCAAGACGCGAAATTCCGTACATGCTAATCTGCGTCCACTTCAAGTGTGTACATGGCGCCGCCTTCTTACTGCCAACTGACCTTCTTGTATAGAGGCGAAGGCTGATCTTCTATTTTGACCACAATTACCTGTATCATAACTACTAGCTTGGATTTCCTAAATAACTTCTTTCCCCAGAATTTTTAAGCTCTGCGATGATACTTATATAAGCATTCAGGAAGTCAGTTTTGGCATGCATACGTTTTTTATTATTCATCCTCAAGCAGTTACAAGAATATAAGGCAGGGTAGAGTTACTAGGTTATAACTCCTACGCAGAGACAGGAAGTTATTGCCAGACGCCTCTTTCCCCCTCTCAGCTCTCGACAGACTTGGCCTATACCTCCTTGATCCTTTAACATCCTCAACCCTCCCTTATATTAATGTTAGAGCCTGCTGAGAAATGATAGAAAATGTACTTTCGCCAAGTTTGCCTTCTAAGACTTCTTTTGTACCAAAATAACCAACTATGTCTCTTAAACGTATGAGCTGCGTAATTGCAGGTTAAATGTTAACTTTATCTGAAGTCCTTTAGACCAACTTACGATGAGCTCAAACTCAATTTTCACACAGAGGGGAGTTCACCAACGTTTTGATTTTGGTGCCTGGGTAGACTTTAAAAATCTTTTTTTTTCGAACTCGTGATGCCTCACGCCCTGACATTTAAGGTCAAAGGTGAAGACATTTTATGTAAATATTTCGAAAAAAATATTTCCTTTCGGATCGATGTTTGAAGCGACTATTCGTCCCATTTCACAGATGGTTGAGATAACTCCGCTTGTAAGAACAGGAGTATATGCGTGTGTCGCTTGAATGGCTAGACAATTTTAAAATATGAAATCAAAGCATGCGAAGTTCTTAAACTTTTTGTTTAAGTAGAGTTCATTCGCAGCTGATTCATCGGAGTTACCTCCCGCTTTCAATCAAGTAACGGACTGTTCATGCCGTCATTTTCGGACTTAACAAAAAACGGCTTCTTTCCTATTTAAGGCAGCTCTGGTGTCCTGGATCTCATCCCTTATGCTAACCCGCCGGTTGCAAGCGTCAAATGGCGCCTAGAAG